CCTCCAATTTATCCCAAAGGTTTTTAGCAGTACACTCATCACTAGAAATTATCTGAAGGAGGCTAGAATCGCATGTACTGTAAAACCAAGATTTTATACGGGCATCCACAGAGTACCATTCTTCATCATCATCCCCAGTAGGTTCTGATTTTCCTGATATATGCCCATAACATAACATACCACGACACATATTAGAGAATATTTGTCTCCACAATTTATATCGGGACCCATCGATAGTGAGTTTAAAGGAAGATTGATTTTACACATTTGTAAGTGTACACACAAGGCTCAATTTGGATGGGGTTGGTGTAGAGGAGGAACCTGGAGTGGTAGACATAGAAGTATACTTTAAGCAATTGATCCAGAAGGTTAAAGAATCACACTGGATGAGTGTGATCAGCCACGTTGATAACAACAAAATCAACAGAGTAGCAGGAGACGAGAAACCCATGTGCACTTCTTCGTCTCACCTGGTGCACCTATTCTCAGATCAACACACCTAGGATCAGATTGCAGATGATAGATCGATGGTGATAGAAGGCAGAACCAAACGAGAAAAAGAAAAAATTTGCAGCAGGTCGTGTGTGAGAATACGACACAAGAGAGTTAGGGTGTAAACCCTAACTCTAATACCATGATATTTTGTGTAAAAGCCTTCATCCATAGAGGCGTTGTATAACAGCAAATATATATGTGTCAAAGTTACATTAGGGTCCCTACACTATACAGAACATATAAAAAAGTATAAAATAACATAAAGGAAACAAGGGACAAAAGAGTCGAACAAAGGAAGGCTTGTAATTGCAAGATAACATACAAATGAAAGCTTAATATTTTCTCATTTGCCAATCACACTTCTCTAGTATTAAATTTCTTACATTTTCTTTGAATATTTTTCTATACTCTTTTACCAGAAAAGTTGAAGTTTTGTTCATCAGTATTGTTATAAATTGTAGATATGATTCATTATTTTATAGCACACAGGTCATTAAATTTTAGGTCTTCTTTTAATTTTGACACTCTAAATGTGTTGTCACCAAATAGTGACACGCCATCATGTCATGTTAGCAACACATTATAAAAATGGGGCACCTTAGCATACCACTTCAACTAACAAGCGGGTAACATGAATGTGACATGTTAAATGGTCAACATTGAAACCAATTTAAAAATAGTGTCAAAATCGAGAAAAAAAAAAGTGAAAACATAGTGTCGAATTTAAAACAAAAAATAAAGTAGTGTCAAAATCGAGAAATAAAAGTGAAACATAGTGTCTTTTGTGGAATCTGCCTTAAAAAATATTAGCAAGTAAATGTGTACAATAAAACCTACAATGGCCGGTCATCATTGTATTTTTTAAACACGGGAGACAAGTTGATCAATGGTAAGACCGAGAGTAAAATTTGTTACCCTTACAAATCAATAACCTAATGACATATGTTGACAACTAGAACCAAAGATACTACTAAAAAAGATATGTACATACATGCACGCTCACAAAAAGACAAGTGCAATATGTTAGAATAATACAGAATAGACATTTTGATTATACTCATGGTTATCTTTATCTCTTCCTGTATGGCCCTGAACATTTACCGTATATCTGATCATTCTTCTGATGTGGTGCTAAAATCTATTTCGGACTTGATACTTTTGGTGATTTCTTTTGGGAAAAGTTAAAGGTGGGTGAGTAGCCAATGGCAGCCCTGAAGCAGATCCTTTGATCCTTTCCCTTATAAAAGTGTGGTCCAAATCCTTATTTTTGATCCAAATTGCTTGGGCAATATTTGTTTCGTGCATACTAGAATTTAGAAAAAAGTGTACGATAAATTTGTACAGATGGAGTCTTGTAAGCAACCATATCTTTATTCCAACTCCTCTTGGTGCATATCATTCCAGATTTGGGAGGTGAAAAGTGCAATCAAACACACGCCACTATCTGACTATCATCTTCGCTTCATTTTTAGCCGTGAAGTTGCTATTATTAGTTATCGCATACTTCACTTTGAAACTTTAATTGAGATGATGCTTAGTTGAGTTAAATTTGTTCTAATTAAGTAAAAAGGCTATAACACATTTGTGCTAGACAGATTAATACTCATGGTGGATAATTGAGTAGGTTCTAAAAAAAGAAGAGAGTTTGGTTAAAGGATAACAACTCAAAAAGTAAGGTCTTAATGGATAAAAACACCATCCTTTCACTTAACCCATGAAGCCCATTGGTTTATATTAAGTCCAAAAGAAACAACACTATATATTTGTAATTTGTAGATGAAATCATGTACCCATTAAGTCCATTAAGTCAAAAAGAAAGAACACCTTAATTCTTGATAGATTATTTGATATTGTATGAGTAATGATCGGAGAGGTTTGCATGAATAGTAAAAATTTGAACCAATGAGAGTGCAGAATTAGATGACCATAGGAGGTGAAAAAGTGAACAGAAGATTAAAAAGCACAGCCATAAAACACTTTAATCGTCTTGTAACAGCTTTGTTCTCACTTTCTTTCATCACACCACACAGCATCATTACATCATATCCTCTTTGCATATTCTGTGTGGGGCCACAACTTTTACACTTGTGCACTTTTTTCTTGCATGTGGAAAAGAATATATATATATATATATATATATATATATATATATATATATTATATATATATATATATAGTATTAAAGTTTGACTTTGACATTACCCAACCTGCGCATCTTGCCTCTTATAGTTTAATTGTAGGTTGGCAAATTAAAGTTGTTAGCCTTTTCAGATGACAAACAATAATGAAATACCAAGGATTGTAATTGGTGATACTTAAAGTTAAAAAGAGTCCTTTTTTAAGATTCTTATCTTATATTCTTTTTAATAATAAACTTTTATGGAAAGGGAGTAAACACATCAGGAAAAAACGGTTTTTGTGTGAAATTGATAACTTAGGATTTCTATCTTGTAACATGTTTACTCATTTTTGTTCCTACGAATATGAGATCTGTTTATGAACCTCTCCCCTCCACTTTACCTCCACGAAGATTTATGATTCTTATTGTCCTTGTGAAAAATAACATGAACAAGTCCCCACTGTGGGAACCTATATATCAAGAGTAAATGCAAGCTGACTATAGTAAATTATTTCCTTGCAAATGTGGTCCCTCATTCAAAAAAGGAGGTGCACTTCCCAGTGGCGTAGTCATGATTTTTCTTTAGGGTATGCCAAATAATTTATAAAATATGAACGGATAGAAAAACATTTCAAATAATAACAAAATCTAACAATGTATAACAATGTATGCATTCTAAAGTGAATTGTTCATTTAAGCTCCACACACCAGTGGCGTAGTCATGATTTTTCTTTAGGGTATGCCAAATAATTTATAAAATATGAACGGATAGAAAAACATTTCAAATAATAACAAAATCTAACAATGTATAACAATGTATGCATTCTAAAGTGAATTGTTCATTTAAGCTCCACACACACTCTCTTACATCATTAAAATCATTTAAAATGTAATCTAAAATGAAAAGCTTAACAATATTTTTCTCAAAAAAATTTACTAATCACAAAAAATTCAATTACAAAAATACTCATATTTTTAAACAAAACAAAGTTACATGTAATATAACAATACAAATAGTTATAATTAATTCATTGAAGTAATAACCTAATTTATTAAAAACCAACAATAAAAAAATAAAATCTATGATAAAAACTAATTAGGATAAAAAAAAAATTAATAAAATAGCTTGATTGTAACTATTGCTGAATACCCTTAACATATGGAGACAAATTGTAACTATTGTTGAATACCCTTAACATATGGAGACAAAACAGTGAGCCGAAGTGAGTTAACTTTTAGAAAAGAGGTGTCACAAACTCTTGAATCAGAAAAGGTAAATATATATGTATATATGCATCAAAAGTGGCGTTATCTGTTCTATGCAATTTTAATATGTTATTGGGGTGGCCATTTTAACCGTATGAAACCCAACTTTTTTTTTATATAAATGAAATATATATACTACATCTAAAAAAAAATTGTAGGGTGGGCCAAGGCCCACCATTGTCTTAATGTGGCTCCGCCACTGGCACTTCCCTTAGGGAGGCACTTCCCTTACGGGAGGATCAAATCAATGTTTTTATTCTTTTGTCGAACTTTAAACATGTGTTTTTTTTTGGAAACGGCAAACGAATTAAGTGGAGCCTATTCGCAATATTTCAACGAGCACCCCGGGTTCGAGCTCTTTTACAGGGCAAACCCAGCCCCCATAGGGATTTCCAGAGAAAAATTCCCCACATATGGCACCACAAGAGGTAGTTTAAGGGAATAGAACTCCCGACCTCACGCCCTACATGGGTATAAAACCCGGTGCATCAACCCAACTAGGCTGGACATCACTTGCAACTTTAAACATATGTGTTGTGCTGCTTAATTGTTCGTTTTCCTTTGCAGGCCTCCCCCACCGACAGGTCCACAGCAAACATGAGGAGGTAAATAACAATATCCAAAGAGAAGGAAGATCGATGATGCTCACGCTTCAACCTTAAACCTCTTTATGGATTTTCACTTCATTACCACTAGACCACTTTTGTGGGGACTTTTAAACACGAAATGGTATGGTGAAAAGGGTAAATGTCACCCTCAACAACCACCAACTGGTCCCATAACTTACATGGTGAGGTAAATCACAGTGTCCGTAGAGCAAGAAAGGTGATGCCCACCTATAGATTCTCACCTTCTTACCATTAGGGCAAGCATTAGCAAACATATACAATATTTAAGAAAGAACACTAAATGGTCCAGTGAAGTGGTTCCCTTTTAAATGTCCTTCAAGAAAGATAAGGGGTTTAGGATTTAGTCAAATATAACAAAATATGCATCTCATAGAGGAGTGCACTATAATCAATCCGGCACATTACTAATTCGATATCATAATTGAGAATTAAAGTAAAAATATTGTTGTAGCAACCTATATATGCTGATTGCTCATGCTTTCTTAATGCTATTAACAGCAGTCCACTTGAACAGCTGTCTTTCGCATCAGCAAAATCTCACTGTGCATCCGCTTGAGACCTTCTTGCAAACCTCCCCCGTATTCGAGGCCGAGTCTGTGCATAAGTTTTCCTTGAAGAAAATTTTGTTAATTTCTTCTCGTATTTTCTTGTTTTCTTTTTTTTAAAATACCTTTGGACTCTATCTTTCCTGCTCATAGGAGGAAATTTAAATGGCTTGTCTGACGCATCTAGTTTTTGTTTTCCTTCTGATGATAAGCTAGTTGAGTTTGAATTGCTTCCAACTGCGTCCTCTATTAGATTTCCAGGGTGAAAGAGCAGAGAAGAGAATTCATCTACTCTCGACCAATCCGTGGTGTTTGAGTAGCTGCCAGGTGTCATCTCTGGTACAATGGCAGGGAGGGATGCCTGAGAGTTTGTTAAAAGGATATATACTTTTGATCAGTTCCAAATCTTCTAAAATGTAAGCTTAAAAGTCATCAGGAACCCAAAACAAATGAATCGAAGAAGCAAGTGCTCACTCATTAAATACTAATTTTAAGTTTTTTCAATTCACATACATGACAAGAAGCCTTTCATTTAAAAAGGCAAGTCAGTACATACCTGGCAGACAAGAAATTCTTTATGGAATGTGACAGGTGGAAATTATCTAGTGCTAGAAGCTTATTCACATAAGCTCTTCAAAGAGAAAGAGAATGATTGTTACTTTTAGGACATCGCCCAACTTCCTGGCATAAAGTACACCAAGAAATTTGAAATAAAGCGAAAAAAAGTGTCAAGGGACCAAAGGATAACTCAAAAAATGGACAAAAGGAAACCCTAGGTGTATGATCTCTTAGAGATGAAGCTCACAGTTTCTGGGGGTACTCATATTTTGAGAGAAAAAAGAACACCAAAGCTTACATTAAAAAAGCTTGCAGGAGTGTTATCCAAATCCACTTTTGAAAAATCATGCATCTGTTGTTGTTGTTGTTGTTGGTCACCATAACATCCATGGTGATTTACCTGTTGCATACAGGCCTGAGGATTAAACTGACCCTGGTACTGGTTAAAGTTTTGATCTGCAGGATTTAGCAGCAACCAAGAATCAATTTCATTGGTAACCATGGCTTCCTGATCATGAAAGATAGGATTTTGATTTTGAGGATTGTAATTAACAGGATTTTGAGGGGGTCCTTGATACGGCAGTAGATGATTATTGTACCAGTTGTTGGTATTGTCATGATACAAGCTTGCATGGCAACCTGTGCAAAAACAAGGCATTGTGGGAGTGTGGCAAATATGGCCATAATTAGTAATTGAATAATTATGACCCGACATTATATATATGCTTGATTGTTTTGGGAAGTAGTTCTCATATGAGAGGGTCTTTACTCTTTATATATGCATGTAGTTTATGTACTAGAGGAAGAATCGGGGAGAAGTGAGTGGCTGAGGAAACACTAATTAATAATAAATAACCTTGTGGCTAGCTGCATTTGCGGTGGGGTAACAATTCGATATATAGGGCCGTAGATGCTCCCATGGGGCCACCATCACCCTTTTTTTGCTCTAATATTTCAAGTTGGAGACTCTTTTCTCTTTTGTGCACGTGTGTTGCATGTGGCCGGCCGATCGAGTGAAGGTTAATATATAGTAACGGTCCAGGTTTTCACAAAGCAGTTTGCAGTAACGGTTAATAATGTAATTAACTCCATAACTAAGCATCAACACCACCTTCATTGCCTTTATTCTTTAACTTAATTAAGGAACATAGTACCTGGTTTTGAATCAAATCGAATTTTCAAAACCAGCTTAAAACCGCTAACCTAATAATCTCCAAAATGTGAATATCATACATTCTTTGTTCTATCGCTAGTTTCATTTTTCTTTAAATCCTTAGTTATTGTGTTGTTCCATTAAAGATTCAGCTTATCATGTAAACGAACTACTTCTATTAGATAGTGTTATAAAAAAGATTCAACAGCGAACCATAAATTAAAGCAATAAAGCAATAAAAAAACACAAGTGGTTTAGAGTGGAAACTCAAAATCAAAAAAGAAGGGTGCTACGTCTGAGTTAACTTGGAGATGGAAGTCTTCTTTCGTTTCTCGACAGTGAAGTAAGAGCAAGCTCGTTTGCTTATTTTCTCAGGTCGGAACAAGTTGATATGATCCCCCTTTTTACGTCTCATGCCCCCCTGTGTGGCGACATGGGGGCGAAAAAAGGAAAGAGAGAGATGGGGTTTCTCTCGCTTTTGGCATAGTGGGCCCCAGTAGGGGCTCGCACGACAGGCTATTAGCTCAGTGAGTAGAACGCGCCCTTGATAATTGCGTCGTTGTGTCTGGGCCGGGAAAAACCACTATAAAACACTATTATTGAACTTATTGAACGGTTACATTTAAGGAGAGAAGAAAAAAGACATACGAATAAATAAATAAGACATCTAGATGACGTTATAAAATAATCTTAAAAAGAATCATAAACAAATTCTAAAACTCGTTATAAATAGAAAACTTTCCTAATAGATAGCTAACTTGAGAGCCAAACAAACGGTTTCGGAGCATCTTCAACGGAAAGTGCATGCAAAAGAATGAAATATAGCATTACGCTAGAATATTGAAAAAAAATTGTTTGTTTATCATAAAAAAAAAATAATGGAACATTCCTTGTTTAATTTGATTTATTCTCGTTTTTCGTAGGGAAGATATTTATTTTCTTTATTGAATGGAATGGAATGATATTACAATAAGAACAATAACCATAATGAGAGAGGTTTTTTTATAAACTATTATCATGACATCAACTAATCAATCCAAAAAACTTCAATAGTAGAGTTTTTTCATCAAATTATTTAGATAGTGTTTGGTTTGTGTCATGTGGCACGCATGCCTGTGGTCACCACACCATGGGTGAAGAAGTCACATACCGCGATGACCAAATACAACACATTCTTTCTCTTTCTCTTTACTTCTATAATTGTCAAAAAAAAATCTTTTTAGAACTCTATAAGTACTAACAATTTTTAACATTTAATCTCACATCACATAGTATCAGTTCTCCCATTCAATCATTTTTCTATCAAACTCGAGTCCGAGAACCCCACCCTAAAATCCGGTCAAAGGATATTTTGTGCTACTAGTTCAAGCACACCAACTACAAATGTGTTTCCTTTTAATCCTTTGATATCGACTTACCGACCCCAACTAGACGCCCTTATTCATTCAACCATCCAATTCCAATATTAAAATGTTCAACAATAATATATATACATACGCCAACCATTACCACATACATGTTCATGAACTTCTCCGCTTTTCCCGAATACGTTCCGTAAATCCAACCCCTTCACAAGCCGGGACTTGAGTTCATACTGAAAACTCAATTGTCACCCGAAGACATCATCGAGACCTAACCCCCACCTGACGAAGGAAAAGGGAAAGAAACCCCTCAATTTTGGACTCCGAGGGAAGAATTTGTATTAGCCCATTTATGGGTCAACATATCGAAGGGTGCATATATTGAGAATGCACAAGTTGCTAATCATTTTGGTTTTGCATTACCAAACATTTTTGCACAAAAATGGATCGTGGTTTCTACCGTCCAAATCACCAATTGAAAACAAAGTTTTGGGAGACGAACCGTGCAATTACAAAGATGAACGGATTGTACAACAATCTAAAAACTCAAAGGAAAATGGTCAAACTAATGAAGACGTTCTCAACGAGACGTATGAATTATTCCATGAGGACAACAACGTAAGGCCATTAAAATATGGTGAGGTTGTGTTCAGTTTATGAAATAGTCTCAAATTAATTTTTTTACAAAAGTCTTAAAAACCGGTAAAATGTTGCATTCTGACCCTTTTTCTCGGTTCAGCGGACCACAAATTAATTTGGGACTATTTTGTAAACTCACCCAAAATATTGAGACTTTTTACAAAAAAAAATTATTTTTATTTTTATTAGTTTATTAAAAAAAGCAAATAAATATATTATTTTTTTAAATTAGTTATTATTAATATTATTAAAAAAATGCATATATATATATATATATATATATATATATATATATATATTTAAATGTAAAAAGTACGTATAAATATAATAAATATGTATGAAAAATGTGTTTATATATTTTTACACCTTAAGAAACATTTTTAAATTTTTTTTTCCATTTAGACATATTTATATGTATTAATAAATATATGTATAAAAAATATTGTTAAAGTTCTTTTTTATTTAAACATTTTTACACATGTAAAAATAAGTTTTTGATGATACGAAGATTGTATGGGCTTATGTGAAGATGGTGATGAAGATTGATGCGAAGACACTCCTGACCTTAAGTGTTTTGAAGATTAATCTCTGGTATTTTCTATACCGAAGAGACTTACTTTTGGTTACTTTATCTTATCAAATATTTTGTATAGATCAAGTCAGTTGGACATGTTGAGTATAGTCGTCCGTCCACCATACTTAATCATGGTCTGGTCTGAATATGGTCGTATGTCCACCATACTTAGGCATATTGAATATGGTCGTTTCTCCATCATACATTTTTAGTTCATCATACTTGAGCATTGCCTAATCTACCATAGCTAAGCACGGATTGGTATGTTCGTTGTATTGCATATGTTCTATCATCATCTAATTTTTTTCTCAACAACGTACAAATATATTTAAATGAAAATAACTTTAAAAATGTTTTTAAGGTATAAATATATATAAATATGTTTTTCATATGTATTTATTATATTTATACGTACTTTTACGTATAAATACATTTTTAGATGTATAAATATGTCTAAAATATATTTTTATATTCATTTATTTAAAATATTAATAAGAACAAATTTAAAATATAATATATTTATTTGTTTTCAATAAAATAATAAAAATAAAAATAAAGGTGTTTGTAAAAATGTTTCAATATGTTAGGTCAGTTTACGAAATAGTCTCATATTAATTTGTTACTGGTTGGATCAGGAAAAAAGGTCAGAATGCAACCTTTTGCCCGTTTTTAAGATTTATATAAAAAAAATTATGACTATTTCGTAAACCGACCTAAAATATTGAGATTTTTCTGGAAATTTTATTTATTTTAACTATGTATATTTTATTTTTAAGTAATGAAATGTTTCTATTTTTATTTATATAGTATTTATTAATATATTTTTATTAGTTTTATTATTTAATTAAATTATTGAATTTTTATTCTATTAAAAATAAATAAATAAAGTTAGGAAAGTTAGAGGACCTTTTCCTCGGTTTTAAGAAGTGAGGGATATTAAAAGAAAATGAGACGGTGTCTAGATGATAAATGATAAAAATGAGAGGTGAGTAGAGAATTAACCTTACATTTTATAAGACCCACAAATTTTTATTTTTAAAATTATGTTGTTTTTAACATAAATTAGCTATAAATTAGCTATTAACAGTTAGTTATAAATCTATAAGACCCATCATAACAATTGAATTTGTTTCAACAAAGAGCTTGTAAATTACATGTTTAATTGAAAAATCTTTGAGTAAAAAAAATCTTGCAATATGAAATTCTTAAGCTTTTCAATAACACCTAAACATAACTCATCAATTTGAAAAACTCAAAAATCTCAATATTAAAAAGTTTTGAATTTATTTATGAAACCCATTATTATAGTTCTCTTATGTTATTGTGGTTTGTATGAATTGTATATATCCAATTGGTTGGAAATTTATTAGACTCACCACAATCATCAAAAAATCTTGTGACGAGAGTTTGTAACTTTATAAGCTATTTGAAAATGTTTGCATTGAATAGACTTTTTTAAATTTAGAATTTTATTTAACCCAATAAGCTTTTGAAAAAATTTCTACTATGGATGATGTTGTAAGTACTTTCATTCTTATAATCTTCAAGAACGTTAATATTTAAAAAAAAAAAGATAAAACTTTAATTAAAATAATATACTTTTTATTTGTAAGAAATAACTAAATTAATTTTAATATAGTTTTTATTTTAACATTTCATGGTATCTTATATTTTTTCTTTTAAACATTTTTTAGTAATATATAATTTTTATAACTATTTGAACTACAGTTGGGATATATTACGAACGACATGTATTATGCTTATATGCTATATATTCTACAAATATAGCTTTTGTTGATGTCTGAAATAATTCTCGTTGGGATTTGCTTCACACTCAATACAATATATACTACAAGACATATACATAATAATCCTTATACTATGTACAAGTATCAAAAAAAGAACAAACTATATTATATTATAGTACTTTA